CAAAAGAGACCACTCCAACAAAGCCTTCTGGCTGAACCATTGTGTTTCCTGAGGTCACTTATGGCGGCATGAGGGAGGCGGCCCCCTGGAACCCCTGTACAGTTCTCAGGTAGCAGCAACGAAGAGTCTTACTGGAAACTGTGTGCTGCTTGCACCACTCGGTGGAGGACTCCACAGCATACCCTTTCAATTGTCACGAAACTTAAAAAGGGAACCTGCATTTTGTGGCCTCTCACCTTCACTCAGGAGAGAGTGCTTACACTTGAAGCAATGAATACACAACAGTTTGTCAGCTCACGGAGCAGCTGTTTAGAGAACATTCACATCTGTACCACAGCCCGTTAATTCATTAGCTCTGCCTGCTCAGCTGAGATGGAGGGGCTAAGTGCCCCAAAGCAGCACTATTTGAGATTTCTGAGCTGCAAAGCAAAGCAAAATGGTGATGAAAACATTCCTGAATTTCTATGGGTCAACCTCAGTTGCCCCTGCAAGGCTCCAGGTAGACTGAGGGTGAAAATGCCACACAGTCCTGATTTGACCTCCAGACTGTGAGACAGCCTGCAGGTCGGGCTAGCATATGCCAACCCTATGGCCTTTGGGTCTAAGCAATTGGGTGAGAAAGCAGCCATCCTGACCCTGCCTGGCACCCTCTCACCAGGCTTCTTCACATGACCACTGAGTATTTCCTTTTTGTGAGCACAGGGCAGAGAAGCCAGCGGCCCCCTTTATCAAGACAATGTGGTGTCTTTGTGGGGCCAGCAGGCAGAAGCCTGAGACAATTCAGGTCAGAATAAATGGACATAGTTCAGAGGAGGACAAAACACTTGTAAAAATTATATTTCCCATTTCACTTTCCAATTCCTTCCAGCTGTCTGTCTCTTAAGTGGATGACAGCCATAGAAGATCGGTAGGCTTGATGGCAAAATGATTAGTTTTTCCGAAACTCTGTTGCTTTAAAATTGTAGCATTTAGAAGAATCACAGAAACCTTTGTGCTCAACAGTCACCTCAGCAGGGAAAAGGCAGAAGGCTGCACATGTGCACCACACGTGTGCTCTTCAGGAAGGTGTTCCTACCACGGATGTGCCTCACACAGCTGGACCCTGGACAGCTGTCTGCATGAGAGCCCCTCAGTGAGCACAAGTGAGCTCTCAAGGTGAGCCCACGGCAGGTGCGCCCTCGCCCAGGGTTGCCCTGGATGGGTGCCCTCTGCACAGAGGAGTCCCAAGCAGGTGTACTGTGCACAGCTGAGCACCAGGAGGACAGACTCCAGAGCAGGTATGCTCTCCTGAGCACTATGCCCCGCACAGCTGAGCAACCCTGAAGATGGCGGGTGTGTTAGTCACTGGCTGTCTTAACCACAGGGCCTTGAAAGCAGTTAGCACCATCTTGTTTAGTATCCGTTAGTGATTTGTGCCTGAATTTACTGTCCATAGGAGAAACATGTTGGTTCTCTAACTCTGACCATTCTTTACATATTCATCAACTAGTGTTCTCAGAAAATTATTCAGCTGGGAAAGGACCGCAATTCCTTCTCAAGGGCAAGCCCATGCATTCTTTTCGTCTCTGTTCTGCACTTAATTACTTTATTTCCTATCGATTATTTCATAAATATAATGGATGCTGAGGACTCGAAAATGGGGATTTAACTGTCAAATTCAGGCTATGGAATATCTTGCTCCTAATGAAAATAATCATATTCATGAAAAATATGAGAACTTTGGTACATGGGAAGGCAATAAATAATATTCTTCCTTGTAAAAAGAAGTCATACGGCACCTCTCCATGTACCTGTGTATGAGATTGTGGAATAAGGTGTTGAGTGGACCCACTGAGGACCCAGGGTAAAGGCCCTAAGGCACAGATCCCTGAGCGGGGCTTAGAGTAGGTCTGAGAGTTCCCTTTGCGCCTCCTTCGGCAGCTACTAGGCAGTGTCTGTGGACCGCCACGTCCCTCTCCCTCCGCTGCGCAGGGAGAAAGGGAGAGCTGAAGATGTCAGCTGGATCCTGGCACTTGTTGAGCCGAGAAGGCCGTCTGGGACCTTTCTTATGTGGTCCTTCAAGGTTACGCTGGCTCTGCAAGATGGCCTGCAGGGCGCTGCAGCGCTCAGTCTGCGGGTAGCCCCGAGGCAGCGTCACTGAGGGAGCGTCTGCGCAGACAGTGCTGGGCCGCCGCTGTACAGCCCTGCAGTAGGTAACGTGAGGTCTCTTTGATGCTGGGTCTGAAGGACTTCTCGGGTGCTCTCGAGAGGGTCCGCTCCACTCCTGGCTCTCCTCCTTGGATCATGACCTAAGGAAGCCTGGCACATCCATAGAATCCAAGAGGAACTCTACTTCTGTGTCCTGCCAGTTGGCAGTTCTGGCCACAGCAAATGCTATGCAAGGAATGGCCAGGGTACAAGAAGTACTTTGTCTGGTTCCTCCTAAGGTAACAAAAAAAGAAAAAAAAAGAAAGAAAGAAACCGCTTTCTCTAATAAAAACTTGACCTTATCTCGCATCTCCATCAGGAGGCAGTTGAGCTGAGCTGTCACAACTGAGGCCCTCACCTCTTCAATTCCTATTGTTAAGCTGCGATGACTTTTCACTCTCCTTCTTCTGTGTCCTTCTCATCTCCACACATGGCAACACTCACAGGCTCAGATGGGACCACTGCCCAGGGGGAAACTGAGGGAAGGTGTACAGGGTCCCGCTTTGTCTGCTGCATCAGCGTGTCCCCCCCCCCCCCTTGATTCCCGAGATGTTTGTGGCTGGCTGTCAGGCTCCACACTAGGCTCTTAAAGCGGGAAACCAACATCCAGGGCTGCTGCTACTACCACGAGGCAGTGGAGAAGCCTTTGGCCATCATCCTCAGGAGGACATGTGGCTGCTTGTATGGACAGCTGTGACTGCAGAGGGTGGCCCCTGAAGACTCAGGGACACAGCAATGGAAGGCATTTACAAATCCCATCCCAGGGGCTAGGCAAAAGAGGAGCCCTCAGTCCTCTGCCCTGACGTTTGCTGTAAGGTAGCGAGAGACTGACGAGGCTTCCCAGCTCGTGCTTGCCATGAGTGCTGTCCGGACCAGCCTGCCTTGCCTCATTTCTGCAGGAACTTTTGCTTCTGTGGCTTTAAAGTTAAGCTTTTTGAATGTGGTTCCCTAACCAATCGGAGCTGTTTCTCAGTGCTGCTGTCCTATCAATGGCGCTGCTCACGCTGGCTAGTGTCATCCTTGTGAAGGAAGTGAACACAAGTGAAGAGGAAAGGTCCAAGAGGCCTCTCTCAGCCGTACAGCTCTCATGACCCCCTTGGGTTCCTTCATACTGGTGAGGTCAATTCAGAGCAATCCGCTCTAGAGGGAATGATACCCTGAGACAGCAGCCTGTCATGTGCGAACAAGCCCCAGTTCCCATGGACAGAGCTCACAGTAACCTGTTGACTTTGTGAGCCTGCCTCTAATCTCACTGAGCAGAAAAACAGACCAAAGGAAATTAAGATGAATCTCAGGCCTGTGCAAAACTGACATAAGCCCTTTGGGGTGGGGGGAGGTAAATGAAGCTAAGAAATTGGAGAAGACGTAGTGACATGCTACCTTCAGCTTTGCAGCCCCTCAAATGCCCAGACAGTAGAACTCCCAAGTGGAGATCTGGAAATACCATACAAGAAAGACCAAATCACCAAACCCAGAAGCCAGCCCAAGCCCAGAGAAAAGTATCTGTACTGGCTGGTTTTGTGTGCCAACTTGACACAAGCTAGAGTCATCAGAGATTAAGGAGCCTCGGTGAGGAAGTGTCTCCGTGAGATCCAGGCATTTTCTCAATTGGTGACCAATGGGAGAGGACCAGTCCATGTGTGTGGTTCCATCTCTGTGCTGGTGGTCCTGAGTTCTATAAGAAAGCAGGCTGAGCAAGCCAGGAAGCAGTACCCCTTCGTGGCTTCTGCATCAGCTTCTACCTCCAGAACCCTGCCCTGTTTAGTCTCTGTCTTCCTTTAGTAAGGAACAGCAGTGTGGAGTGTAAGCCAAATAAACCCTTTCCTCCTCAACTTGCTTTTGGTCATGGTGTTTCATCACAGCAATAGAAACCCTAACCGAGACAGTGTCATTCAACATCCCGTATCCAAAAAGGCATGCGAATGATGACCCCTGCCCTAACCAGGCTCAGACCACCAGACTACTGACTCTGCCCTTGAGTATTCCCAGACACAGTATCATGAGGAGCCAGTTCACCACACTGAAGGTGCAGATCAGCAAGAAAAATATAACGACTTTCTTTTATTTCAAAATGCGGTGTAGAAACACAATGGAATCTTGTTCAGCATTATAAAAGAGGCACATGCCATTTTCCATAACCTGATGAGCACAGAGGACGTCATGCATAGTAGAGTAAGCCAGGAGCAGGAAGACACGCACCACAGAGCTCATGTGTGGGATCTAAGTCTGTCTCATAGAGCAAAATGGAGAATGAGGTTACCAAAGGCCAATTTGGAGTGCTATTTAGATGGCATGAAGTTTCAGTTGGACAATAAAAACATGTTCTAGTGACCTGTTGCACAGAGGGGTGACTCCAGTTAATGTAAACCAGAATACTAAGGTAAGTAATTTTAAATGTTATTACCACAAATAACATACATTTGAGGTGGTAGGTACACTAATTCATCTATCCTTCAATATATACATTATATCAAACACCTTGTCTACCTTGCAGTATATACAATTCTCAATTGTCATTTAAAAATACATAAAACTTTTAAAAACTACACAGTCCACATTGAACTATTCACACACTTTCAACCATAGGCCTGTTGGTTTCTTCAAAGGTATAGAAGGGAACACTCAAGCTACTCACATCTCCACAGCACATGTGAGAATCTCATAGAAAAAAATGCTTTGGCAGTTAGCTACCTAATAAGCAATTTCCTTCTCTCAGAACATGTATATAAATTCACTTATTCTCCCGCCACCATTCTAAGCAGTGTGTTCTCATGGCCCACGGTTTGCACCTGATTCTCTGCCTCTCCTTCTAGCCTGTTCTGGTGTCTGGGACAACATCACCTGCTGGCGCCCTGCAGACGTTGGGGAGACTGTCACAGTGCCCTGCCCCAAAGTGTTCAGCAATTTCTACAGCAGACCAGGTATGGGGTTCTCACGGGTTCCCCGGCTCACGGGGGTCATCTGGGGCTCCATTTCTCTACAGGAAGAAGCTGGGCGGTGCTGCTTTTGTAGCTCCATTCTCCCCGGTCCTAAGAGAACCAGAAAATGTGTTGGGCAAGTTTTCCTTTAAGGAAGCAGGAGTACCTCAACCGCTGGAGCCTAGATAGGCAAGCAGGCCAGATGTGGGGGAAAGACGGATGATACACTCTCTGGAGGCAAAGAAGGAAAATGTGCGTGCATGATAATGGAGAGGAGGGGGAAGAGGGAAGGAAGGTTACTGTAAGCCCTAGAGAGACTCCACAGCTTGTAGGCTTAGGTAGAAAATATGCGTCACTGCACAAAAGATGCTCCTGCTGACTAGTTCACTGTTGCCTGGAAGTTAGAGAATTTGGAGCCACCTCATCCCCTCTGTCCTACACTGTTGTCTACACACGTCTCAGGACACAGGTTTTCATCACATGGAGGACGCTTATTAAACACAGCTAGAACAAGGGAAGTGCAGCACTTTGAGAACTGGAAACTGTTTTGTCTGGGCAGATCAGAAGGGGGAAACTGTGAGGAATGATAATGTTGAAGCTTAAAGCAGAGAATTAAGCACAGACTGAAACAGAGAAAAGCAGTGAGGGAAGAGACTTGGTCTTCTGGGAACCTGTGCCCCTAACCTACCTCACTGGTCATTCATGGTCATGGCAGAGGGTCTCAGCCATTCTCAGTATTCTGACCTCTAAAGGCTCTCATCCAGTCCAGTCGCCATCGTCTCTCTGAGGGGCTTGGCCACAAGTGCATAGAGGTAGTCCGCCCTGAATGTGGACGCGTCAGGTGAGGCTGAGTGGGAGGAGGGTACCATAGGTCCTTGGGGAAGGTGGGAGGGGACTGGGACCTAGAGTCCTCCAAAGTACGGAGCTGAGTCTGCCCAACAGCGCTAGTTTCAGAACTGCCAGCCTGGCAGGAGCTGCTCTTGTGCACTGCCAAATAAGACAGTACCAGCTAACAGGAGGCCATTGCAGGGCCTTTGACAGAAAGCCTATCACCTGCTCAGACTCAAAACTGACCCAGCAGCCAGGACCTTAGTCTCCAGCCTGTAGAATGAGAGCAGCAATGTAGACCACACCTGCCTCTCAAGTCCACTCTGAAAATGAAGACATGTGTAAAGGAAGACCTTTGGGAAACTTAAATGTCCTAGACACTGTGGGTGCCGTGAGTGTCCTGGGCAATGGGCAGAAGCTCCACACAGGACCAGGATGTGTTTCCTGGGTACCTAGAATAAGAATCTGGCCTGGTCCATTCAGATCACTAATGCCCTCATCCGCCCCTTTCCCAGCAGGTCAGTCCAGAGCTTCATATGCTTTCTGCTCTGTGTGGCCACCTTCCACACCCTTTGTAAATAGAGTGAATGCTTCATTTCTGGATAAATTTGAGGTCATTAAGAAATAAACTGTGGGATTTTAAAATCACAAAACTGCTGTATTTCCTGCTATTTAAACCTCAATTACATGTGGTCCTCCAACTGATAGCCAATTGGAAAGCCCCCTTCACTACTTCATTAGTTTTGAAGGCTGAGGCACAGACCAAAGGTAGAGGGGAAAAGGATTGACAAGAGCTAGCCCAGAGCCCTGGGGCCTGACCACCCGCACTCTGAGGCCCCGACATCAGAATCTGTTGAGGGTCTTCATCCAGCTTCAGAACAGCTGCTCTGAGGCTCTCGCAGCTGTAATCAGTGCTTGTCCTGATTTTACCATTTGGCGATGCAGTGTGTCCGCTCAGTTCTCCCAGGCCTTGGCAGGCAGGTCTCCAGGAGGAAGCTGTGCAGGGGAACTGGGGAAGGACTTGGGTGGTCTCAGTCACTTGCCAAGTAGGGCTTCAGCTTGTCCTGTCATCCTTGATTGTGAGGCTAGTTTTCAAGGACCAAACATCTGAAATTTACTTTCCAGGGAACATAAGCAAAAACTGCACTAGTGATGGGTGGTCGGAGACATTCCCAGATTTCATAGACGCGTGTGGCTACAACGACCCTGAGGATGAGAGTAAGGTAGGTGCCCGGCGGCCACACCCGCTCCACCTCCTGACCCTGCAAACAGACAGCACTGTCTGGGTCTCCTCCCTTCTCTAACAGTGCAGCTTCTAGGTCCTCACTTCGTGAATATGTTGTGCCATGTAGGATTTGCTGATTCTGCATAATTTTGGAGGCCCAGGAAGGAAGGTTTTCCTTACCTGTCAGCATGTCTGGATGGGAGAGACTCCTGTAAAGTGGGTTATATCTGCCACAGACTAGCTCTTCTGAGGTCCCCTGAGCAACACATCCTTCATGCCATCTGGATCTCTTTATCCCGTTTACAGTTTTGCGACCATCTGGGTTCCTCAGAACCAGGTTCAATATTCTCAGTCTGATCCCACAGCACACGAGTCCAAAGCTAGACATTTTGTAAGCTCCAGAGTCTGGGTCTGTTGGTAGCAGTCAATGTCTTATCTCCGGCCACTCAGGCCAACTTCCAAGGGTCTTTCCAATCCTAGCTACAGCACCCCGCAACCATTCTATGATGGAGTACCACGTCCATGAGTAGATCTTTCTGTAAGCATGTAATTGTTGGTGATGAGGGCATCCTTATGCTCAGCTCCACACCTCGGCCTGGCCCTATGTCTAGCAGCCTCGTGCATCCCTGTGCTAGATCTTTGTCTCCTCCTTCTCAGCCTGGGCTATCTTCTCACTGCAAGGATGACTTGAGCTCCTTACAAACCCATAGTCAGGTAGATAGAGACATGCTGGCTGCTCAGGAAGGTGCTGAATCCAGGGGGAACTCTAAGAGTATTAGTAAATGGCCAGGCCCAGGTTCCCCCACACAGCCACAGAGTGGTCACTTTCCGCCTCAGGCCGCCTCCTGCCTGTCACAGTGCCCTCCCACCATCGGTGGCAGCCATGCTGCCTCTGGGAGCTGACCCACTTGCTCCTCTCCCCAGACTAATTGCTTTCTTTCTTCATTAAGATGTATAATTCAAAGCCAAAAGATTATGAAACTCGCTCCATGTCTTTGTGAAGGCCCCACCAGTTGAGAGCAGCATTCCTGGGCTGCAGTTAGTGGCTAGCACGTGTGCTGTGAGCCAGACAAGATACCACGCCCCTCCCCCCGCTGAGGCTTGATGGCACCAGGTCCACAGACAGGTGCTCGATCTTAGAGAAATGCTGTGCTTTACTGGCCTGCATCTTTGCAGCCTTCTGCTCGCTCCCCACACTCGCTTTGACATTTCCACTAGACGGGGAAGCCACTGGACTCCAGCCCTCTTCTGCTGCATCACAGGGAGTCTCAGGTCTGGACTGGGGTGCTGGCTGGGACTCCAGCCCTCAGCACCCTCAGAACGCCATGCGGAGGGCCCGCCACCACACCCTGCAGGGAGAGGCAAGGCTGAGAGAAGAACCAGTGCTGGAGACCAGCTCCCCACGTTTGCATAGACCACAGCTCACACCTGACCCTTGACCCCACCCAGGAGGCCAAACCCTGTTCAGGGGTAGGGAGAGGGAATCGGTGTTCTGTCCCCTGTGCTGCACACTGCTGATGGCCTGATTCTGTTGTGCGGGTCACTTGGTGCCACTCCCTAAGGAAACAGGTTTCTTTCCTTGCTGGTGACGCTGTGCTGCCGGCTGCTGCTCTGCTGTGTGTAATCACTGCCGTTAGCTTCCGTGACAAGCGTATCCCAAGTTCCCTGTGGCTATGGTGATTGGTGAAGGCGTGGGTGGTACCCATCCCCCTAGAACAACAACATGCTGCCGAGCACACGGGACAAGTGTGTGAGCTGTGCTTGCTGACATGCCTGGGAGACCAACCTCAGGAGGAGGTTCACTAACCTCTAGTCAGGCTCTCGAGCCTGCAGAATGCAGACAATGACAGCTGCTGTGGATGCAGGTGCAGAGAGACTCCTGAAGCAGGACTGTCCTCACCTAGGGCGTGTGACTAGAAGCCGAATTCTCAGGCTTCCCTGCTTCCTCCTCATTGGCCAAATCCCTGAGATGGCTGTTTGTTAGTGGCACCATCCTCAGGGTCACCTTGATGACAAAGAATGCTTAGCATTTCACCCTTTTATATACTGGACCCCCATAACTATGGACCCAAATCCTATAAGGGACTTCCACTAACTCTTCCACAAATTCCAGAATTTGTACACAAAAGACGAAACTCTGGGCAGCTGGCCACAGCTCTGAGGGCTGCGTTTAGAGTAGCCCCATTCTCATCTGGATATGGAGATAGGGAAAAGCCCATCTGAGAGATCAAAAGCTCTTATCCATGAGCTGGAATAAGGTCTGGAACCTGTTTTTACAGAAGACAGAAGGGCATGCTGGGCTCCTGAGATAGTCCCAAACTTCCCTGGAGCAGCTTAACCAGCTGTCTCTAGGAAGCTGCCCAGTGGCCTTCTGGGAGTGAGCTCACCTCTGCTCATGTGCTGACTCTGCAGAGATGGTTCCTAAATCCTCTTGTGGGTATCCTGAGTCCTGACCCAGGCCAGGGAAGATGGAGGTGGAGCATCACCCCCGTCCCTCTGTCCCTCTGAAGCTGGTCAGCTGAGACACCATCACCTGGTGAGGGCCATGAGGACAGCTCAAGCAGCTGTGAGTCTGAAGGTTCTGTGAGAGTGTGGAGTTGGAGGGATTCCCACTTGTAGGTGGGACTGTCTTCCCTGGGAGCCCTCGAATGAGCTTTGCTTCATCTCTGAATGCAGAAGGATGTGCCGATGCTGAGCAGTGTCCTAAAACTGCATCAGGACTCTCTTCCTAGCTCCTCCTGCAGGTCCCTGGGGAAGGCCCGGGCCAGATACCCATACGAGCCTAGATTCTGAGCTGCCCTCGGATATGAAGAATGACAGGGATGCAAGAGGCTCCAGTGTGTCCTTGCAGAACACGATCTCTCTTCCTTGATTTCTCCTTTACACTTAGGGGGTGTTTCTAGGGACACTAGAAAACTCCTCAGGCTCCTTTGGTGCTTCTGAGGAGCTATAATTAAACCCTGCCTGTGTAAGGTTCAGCTTCTGGTCCCTCATGCATTCTGTCTGCTTTTAAGAACTATTTTTGTTCTTAATTACACATTTCAGAGATTCTTTAAATAGCATAAATTTATAATAATGGATTAAAAAGTCAAAATATTTTAATGCAATAGGCAATGGAAATGATGGACCAAAGTCAAAATAAGTAAGTGCTTCGAAATTGCAGTTTCCACACTTTAAATACTTTAGATATTAGGTTGTTTCACAGACTCATTAAAATATGAAGCTATGGCAAATATGGTGCCATCACAGATGCCCTGAGCTAAGATGGACTGCAGCTGGGCTCTGAGCACACACCCAGCCCAAGATGGGGCTCCTTGTCAAGGATAAGTATGGTGGCATCTGGGAGATGACTGTGTTTAAGAGAAGACTCTTGCGGGGGTCCTTTTTAATTAAAAATTCATACCAAATATTCTGATGGTGGTTTCCTTCTCCCATCTCCTCCCAGATCCAACTCCATGGCTTCCTTCTCTCTCTTTTTAGAAAACAAACAGGCAAATTAAAAAGAAAAGAAACCAGAATTTTTTTTAAAAAAAGTGAAAAAGCACAGGAAATACACACAGAGAGACAGAGAAGCCACAAAAACACAAAAAATCAGAAACCACAGTATTTCTACCCTACTGGCCAAAGACCAGTAGGGTAGAAAATGACCCAGCAAAGCAAGATGAGACCAAAAAAATCTACAAAACCACCCCTGAGATCATCACTCTGTAATCGGATTTAGGACCACTCCACAAGATGGAAGGCATGCCTGACACTGTTCAGGTAGCCAAGAAGCTGAGTCTAAGCAAGCCACCAGTCTGAGGAGAGCACAGATCTGCTTGCCTGAAAGAACTTGAGCTTTGCCTCAGCATCTCACGTTCTCCTCAGGCTTGTGTTTCAGGGCATGTTCCTATGTAGTCAGGTTCTCCGATAAAGGCTGTATGGGTGGTCATGAGTGGTTTCAATATACGTTAAGAAAAATAAATAGACTTCACAAACACTGTAGGGGTGGCTGCATGTGGAAGAATAAAAAGATAAAATGGCAGTTCCAGGAATCTCTTTCAGGACAGATGTTGGGGTCCTCAGGGCTTCGGCACAGCACCCAGAGCTGCCTATATACACATACTCACTTGAGAACAAGGAGCTGCCTCTGTTATGCCTTTCCCACCTGGCTCTGGCTAAATTTAGAAGAGCTTTTGGCACTTGGGTCAAGCAAACACATTTCTTCCATATTATTTGATATTCCAAAAATATGTATACCCTCTGCCCCCAGCATCCTCCACAGTAGCCACTTTTCCTGATACGGTTCTTCTTACCTACCATGCCCGATGGCACAGGCCTCAGCATCAGCCCTCTGGCACTATGAAGGCATAGACCCCTAATGACCTCATAGTGTCCCAGTATTGTCCTAGGAGTGGGAGGAGGCATTCCGCAGACCCGCTGTGACAATGCCCAGAACTGCCACCCACAGGGGTGTGTCAGGATGGGAGTTAGCGAACATCAGCTCCAGTGCTCAGCTAGTGACAGATTCCAGCAGGGACTCACGCAGACACTGTGCTTACCTCACTGTAGGACATACTCACTCCAGGTTGCTGCAGTGTTGCCTTGCATCAAAAGGTTTGTGCTTCACAGTGGTTTCGGCGCATTGTGTACCAAGCTCAATGCCAGCTAGTAGTGAGAGGAAAATGTTTAGGGAAGACAGAGTGGGGTCAGCTATGGACGAGGTGGGCTGACAACTTGAGAACACTGGCTCCACAGATGACGTGGCAGAGAATGGAGTCCCGTTGCCCACAGGCGCCTGTGGCTGAACTTGGATTCACAGAAATCTGATCCAGAAGTTGCCTTGTGAAGACAACTCAGTTATCAGCCATGCTTATTCCTGTTTCAACAGAAGTGTCACACATGGGCTTGATGCTTAAACTATTAAAACTCTTCAAGGCCAAAGGAGAAACAAGACAGAGAAAGGCTGACCAGGAACAGGCTATGATTCTCCAGACTTTTAAATCCCTCCTTTGAGAA